CATTTCCCTCATGGCTTTAGAAGAGCTCGGTGTGGATGGATGGATGAGAAGAGGTTAAGTGCTATTTCTGCAGACTCCCGTGTGTCCTGGGGTCTATGACACTCAGGTAGCCGTAGTTTTTTATATTTCACACATCACCGTGTCATATTTCACCTTAGGTGAGACCTAACAGGTCAATACTGATCCAAAGGAAAAAGTGATATCTTTAGTGTTTTCACAAATTATCTATTGTGCAAGCTCTTCTGAGGAGAACAACTTCCATTATTTATAACATGACCGGGACTAGTAGAACAAAAGAAAAAAAAATGGATAGTGGAAACCATAAACAAAGATACTAAAACAATTCTATTACAAACACACTGGCCCAGTGACTTCGTCGGAAGTATTCCAAGGTCCTGAAGTGGTCCAGTCTCCAGATCTCAACCCCCTTGAAAATCTTTGGAGGGAGACTAAAGTTTATGTTGACCAAAACATCATCACTAGAAGAGATCTGAGTGAAAACCGTGTGAAGACACTGAAAACAGAACTGAAAAATAGATTATTTTGAAAATGTATTTCTGTATTTTGCATCCTGTATTTTTATTGTTTTGAATAATGTAAATGTATTATAAAACTAACACTATTCACCACATAATTATAAAAAGCAAAATACTAAATAGTAACAGTAATGAGTAATGTATGCAAAATAAGGAATGACAGGGAATTGGTTACAATTGGAAACAACTTAAAGCTATTTTGATTAAATGAAATACATATTTTCCCAGCTTTCTCTGCAAAAGATTGGAGAAGCAGTATAACTCCTCTCCCTGGTGTCCATTGCATCAGTCGTGTTCTCTGGACTGAGAGCAGCTCTGGACCGTGTTGTGCTTTGGAGAAGCTATAGACGGCAGATCGTTTTCGAAGCTCCCCAAAGCCCTTACACCTACTCACTTCCCACCACAAGGAGATAAAAATCTATTTGGTAATCCCCCAGTGGCTGTTAATAATTCAAAGGTTTCTTGGTCATGCAAAGTTTATCAGGGGCCACACAACAAAGCTATATTGAGGAATCCCCTGTGAGCAGACTGGCTTCATATTGGAGGATTCAAAATTACCATGCTCAATTACTTCCCCACATGAATGCTAAGTAAGATAGGCACGACAACGTAAAAAGAGAATCAAAGCATGTATGAAGCATAAGGCAATTTGAATATGTAATTTTCTGCTGGGGTTTTACAGAGGTACTGTAGCATGGTTAGCTATCTCAGCGCGGCAATATCATATGGTCTATTCTGATGTAATAAAACCTAGAGGAGAGAATATATATATATATACGCTCACATTAAAATCTTTGACTCCTGAAGCATTCTTCTGAGTATTTATTGCCTGCACAGGTCCAAGAGAGTGATTATAAATGAAGTTCACATCCACTCACCGGGTCTTTTCATGAATGCCATCAGAAATCGCCAGAGAGCGTGACGCGAAGCGAGGGGCACATGCCAAGTTTCCCGCGTTTTGAAATATATTAATGGCACTGTCTGTCTGAACGTAGAGATCCTGGGGTTGAAGAGGCTGGGCAGTGACCGGAACATCCCACACTCGAGAGCCTCCCCTGGGGTCGCTCATGCACATTTACTCACGGCGGGGCCCAGCTCTTGCCGCCCTTTTAGCACAGCGGCAGTAACATGGCTGTCAGGGCGAAGACGCACACTAAAACATGGCTTGCACAATGTGAAGATTGTAGACTAGACTACTTGAGCTGCTTAGATGAAGGTGAAGTGGTTTTTAACAGAGGATATTGAAAACATGGATCATCAGTAAAAATTAAAGACCACTGCTTCTTTTCTGCTTGGCGTCTCTTAGAAAGAAGGAAATATACCGTGCTGCCCAAAGTGTGAAAGACTCACAGGGCTGTTAAAAGTATCCAAACAATCATTTTTTATCTTTAATGTAATGAAATGAATACGGCTTGTTGGTATTTCATGATGTAAACTTTTGGAGCCACTTGTATTTCACTACAAAGCAGCCACAATTGCTTCATGGGTCGGCACGGAAACGAGCCAGAGGATGTGGAATCCTTTCTAGTACGTAGTGTATAGCAAAAAGGGGGTGTCCTCTGCACTCCGTCGTGCACTTCCATGTGAAGTGGGTCTAAACGTTTTTCCCTTGACAGAGCTTTTCCAAAATGAGAGCTTTTTTTTTCACTACCACAATGAAAATGAGTTGTGTGTGATGCAGATCTTATAACATCAACAATTAGCTATCATTAGAGAGTAATTCAAAGAGGAATATAATGCAGTATATTTGGCCATTACCCATGGAACTCCCTATGCTAAATCCAGAAGGAGGAGTTTTGTATCTTCCTGACTTGAAAATGACCAGCTGCAAAAACAACCATGCAATTTTAAGGAGGATCATTTCACTTGAGAAAATGCCAGAACTCAATTCTTTTGTTTTAAAATTGGTCTTGGAACAATGTATGTGTTCTTTATGTTTAAGGCTTTGAAGGTTCTACTAATGAGAGTGTAAAGAAGCTAGCACTGCTTATTAACTCCATGTCTATTGTTGACAAGGAAACAAAGCTAGAACACAAATCTCAATCCAGTCTATTGTCTCCTGTAGAAAAATATATTTGTACATATAATTATTTTATTTTGTTTGATTATAATAGTGTTTGTGAGATTTCCACAACTTTTTCAGGAGGAACTTGGATGGGAAGCAAAGTCTCGTGGTGTCTGACTGATTATTGTTCTGCCAGGTAAAAGAGATAATGCAATCTTACTTTTGGTGAAACTTTCGGTACGTTTAAAACAAACTAGATCAAACACAAACCAAAAGCTCAGTTGGGAGCATCGGAAGTCTTTCATATGCCTCGCTCCACCATCCCTGGGATTCGCTGCAAACAGGTGTACTCCTTCCCTTTATCCAGTCTATTTTCATCCACTCACGTTTATACATGTCCTACTTCGACAGGAGCCTGTATCCACTGAGCCATCCATTTCTCATCCAACAATTACTTCTAAAACACACACACGGTACACACCTGCTTAGTCAGTCTTGTCACTGCCTGCAACAATATACACTTTCACGTTGCCCAGACATCATTGTAGTGATACGATACAAACATGTACTTGCAAGAGCTCGTAGGCTTCTGAATTAAAAGGAGAAAAAAAACGTATATTCTTACTCCCTGCCTGTAAAATCACACTGAAAATGTCTGAGAACCCTTTGGAGCACAAACAAATGGCTTGACTCTTTGTGAAGCTGAAACCATGTAGTTTGTGGGAACAATCTCTGTGGAATAAAAGATCAAAGTCTGGCTACACACTGTATCTTTGGTAAATATAAAAGAGTATATAGCTAGTGTCTGAGTGACTGTAGAAAGACCAACTGTTGGATTTGGACTATTCCAGTTTCACAGCGAAGTCCTTCAGAATACCTATGAACTTATTATTTGCCATTTTTCTCAATATTTCACTTGCTGTGTGGTGTTCAAATTGGTTCAGCCCAGAGAATATTTGTCAAGAAATAGGATGTATTTTTATTTTGATCCCTCACATTTCCAGGAGTTTGATTTCCATTTATAATTGTGTGTTTTATATAACAGTAAACAGACAAAATTGAAACTGGACTAGAGAATGATGGTCAGAGGAGACCATCCAGGGGTGATTGCACAAAATTCTAGAAGTACATTTATAGATATGGGTCAAGATTCACATAAAAACAACATTAACATTTGATGATCCTTTGAAGAAACTAAAAATAATGATCACGACTCACTGACATAATTCCAACTAATGAGAGACCTTTAGAAAGCAAAATAATAAAAGAAAATCCCCTTTCTTTTCATTGAAACATATGAGAAAAACATGTGGAAAATGAACTTTGTAGTGTAGTTTCTAAAGCCATGGGCTGGATGTTTTCCACTGGTATATAATATTTAGAAAGAAGGATTTATTTTGAATAGGCAGATAACTGTTTTAAACGGAAGATTTCTGGCTGTTTTGTCCTTGGACAAAGACATTTCACTTGTCTTTCAGACATTGTTTTGCTGACATACGGTATGTGCATCTTAATAGTGTGGTATTTACGGATCTCAAACATATCTGCACCACTGTATTGACTAATAGGCTTGCTGCTATTTCAACTCAGTTCACACAAATACAATCCACAGCCATGACCTCGAACCAAATCAAACGTCACTAAGTTACAAAACACAGATAATCAGGCCAAAGGTTAAACATAAAAAAATGGCCTTCTATAGTTGTCATCTATTATCAATGATTTCTTGGGTAAATGCGAAAGGGTAACATTAACAACACGGTTCAAAGCATTTTAAATCCATTTGACATACTATGTGCTAGAGTACTGAGAGTTCAATGGTTGGTGTAACTACATCACTGCACAAAAAATGGAAAGCAAAAAAAACATGTTTTCTTATAGTAAGTAAGTAAGTATGTAAGTAATGTGTATTTATATAGCGCATTTTACAGACCAAGGTCACCCAAAGCGCTTTACAACGTTCAGAGTTCAGATATTGTTCCAATCATTCCACACACGGTGATGACGGAAGCGAGTTGTCGAACACACTGGACCATCAAAGCCCCCAATCAACACCATCCATTAACTCTCTCATTTACATTCAGACCTATTGTGCATGTGTTTAGTGGTAGGGGAAAACAGAGCACCCGGAGGAAACCTACGCAGACACGGGGAGAACATGTAAACTCCACTCAGAAAGGCCCTGTTATGACCGAGATTCGAACTCAAGACCAGGTCCACTCAGCCACCGTGCCGCCCAATAATAAGATAAAGACAGCTTGTTGTGGTTGGACTTATTCATAAAATGTTACTTTTACATGACTTTCTGTTGGGACAAACAAAATGATTATTTCTGAAATTATAATTGATGCTATAATTGATTCTAAAATGAATATGCTCCCGCTGTTGATTGGTGTTAATATGGAGTTGAACCATTGGAGTATCCCGTGAGGACCATTCTGCCCATCGGTAGCTCTCACCTTTTTTTCCCTGTGGTTCCTTGCAGTTGTCATGGAGGCAGGGCCCCCAGTCCGACCAGGGGGAGAGGCTGCAGTGGTGTGGGCAGGAGATGGAGCAGCTCTGGACCGAAGACGGAGGTTCCTCAGCAGCACACAGCCTCTCACTCACCGGCCTGGACACTGAACACACAACCAGGATTAGGTCAAGTCCCACTAACTCAGACTTGTGCGGGTCTGAAATGGTGCCAACAATGAATACACATTGATTACAAACAGACCTACATTCAGTTTGAATTCACAAATCTACTGCTCTTGAAGTAAGCTGCTTGTTCTAGTTTTACAAACATAAAAACATCTATTTTCAGTCATATTATATTTAGATACAATTTAGATAGTTTTCTTAAATTCAGCCTAAAGTTAACATTTATTGTAATGTATTTACCTCATTATGTAAAGAAACACAATACCAATTAATTCCAACTCTATGCTATGCTACGCAGCCCTGTAGAGTATTAGGGCACAAACGTTTTCACAAATGAACTATGCAAAGTGGCCCGGATCGTTGCCACAGCAGCACCCCCGAGAGTAAACGGTGTAAGAGCTGAGAAATGACTGAATGAGAATGAAAGAATGAAAAGTGTGGTGTACAAGCAGCTCGACTGGAGGATACAGGTGAATGCATCACAATGTGACAGCGAGGGTCTGAACAGAAGGGAGTCACTTTAGCCCTGGAGCACACACTCCCCTGCGCCCCTCGACCATGGTCCGGGGGCTCACATGAAAGGTTTATCACTATTCGGGAAAATATGAAAGTATGAGACTGCGGGGAGAGACGTGTGTGAAAATGCACGGCACAACAAACTCAGCAGGAAGACAAATATCACATCCCCACCACACCTCCCAACACCTCCCAACCACCCACCCCCATCATCTGAGCTTTACAACCGTGCTCAGGCCCACCTCTCTCAACCATGCACAAGCACGATTGCAACCGTGGTCAAGCCCAGTTGCCGCGGTCACACGGCACCTAAAGCTCGGATTTAATCCCGACTTTAACTGGGCTTTAGGATGTGCTTGTGACCGCAGCCTTCAATGACTCTCTCTCTCTTTCCCATTTACAGTGCTTCCAGATGAATTGTTTCTAGTTTATCATTGACGTGAAGAAAGAGCAGATCAGTCAGTAGCATTCTTTATGTGAATCCATTTAAGCGATTACTATTATTTTTATACAATGTGGTCCCATATACGGCAATTAAATATAATGAAGCCTACACACACATCCTATTTTGAGTTTGCATTCACTGGGCTATTGGCTAAAAGCTTTCATGCAAACATTTGATGGAAATAAACAGAATGGTAAATAGTCTGTTTTTCTGTTTGTTGACTTTACTGCTTTCTTGTGCCAGTAATGCAAAAAAGCGTAACATTATTTACTGTGAGAAACAAAGAAACAGGGGAAAGTTTCTTATTTATTGTAGCATAAAGCCTCAAAGGAACATTATGTGAATGCAGTGTAGCGGCCGCCTGAATAAACCGCTACTGAACCAAGAAATAAAGAGGAGAGAGCCAAATACGCAGATCACAGACAGTGCAGACAGCCTTACAGTGGATGAAAAAACCCTGCTTTGGCCACAACACTCATTTATTCAATGTAATATTCCATTTTGATGCACCTCTGCACATCATTTAGCAGCAAATTTCCATTTAAATGAGCACTCCGAAAAGGCAGTGTAAATGTCTAGCATGCATTTCAACGCACTCCAAAAGTAATTGAACATGTTATTTGATCTCCATTCAGAAAATCAGATTCTACTTTAAGCATGTTGGCAAAGTGCAGACTGAATTATAATGTTTCGCTAACTGTTAAATAGTGAGTCAGAGCGATACTGTAGGAATAACTGGTATGTATAATGATGAAAATGGACACTTACCAGATGGCTGTGTTTTTACTGTCATACTATGGCGCCATTGTTCACAAAACACAATAAGTACAATGACGCAAACCAGATTCAACCAGGAATAGGACCAATTAAATGTGATGTAGGTGTTTTTATAGTTGTAAAAAATTATTTGCATTGCATTCTGAGTCTCCTAATGCTTCCCTTCCCTGTCTGAAGCCTGAAGGGATTTAGCCAACACGCCGCTGCTTTCAACAACAACTATTTTGTCACCCTTTACTTAGCCAGAATCGACCCCCAGAGAATGCAGTTTCTTTTTCAAAAACGAATACAGACTACAGAGGATCTGCGGTTCCAGTATATCTCTTGTATCTTCAGGCTGTATAGTTTTAATACACTGTCCCTTTAAATCATGGTCAAACTGAAAATCTAGATTGAGATTAATAGAACATTACCCTCTTTTAAAGAGAACAATGGGGTTTTTCATAGTCATTTACACACTCTAAGGTATAAGACTGTATTAATGTTATGCCACCTATTTCTTTTATTTTTGTGAATTTGCGTCCTTTTCTGAATTTGTGATACATGGATGATTTGGCAGCTAAATGAGATTTCAAATTAGCAAAATATATAATTATGACACAAGCACAGGTATAATTATGTGCCTCCTGTACTGGCGACCCCACTCCCATCTCTGTGTGGAGTGGGAGACAAATGCCCTCAATTATACACCTCTTTGTGACTCTGGTCTGTGAAAGGTGGGATATAAATAAAGATTACTTACTTACTGACTGAAAAGGGTGTGGTTCTACGTCATGGTGCTACGTCCCTTAGGACTTCGCTAGTGGGATATCACTCGTGACCCCCAGGTCACACGCCAGAGAGATCAAAATAATTTGCTCCAATCACCAGCCACCTTCCTCTATAAATGCCCCTGCACAAGGCCGCACCCCCTCTTTCACTCTGGCGCCGTTTGAGATCTACCACAGTACTTACTTCATTCTGAGATGTCTTCCTTGTTCGTCCGAGTTCCCTTCGCCCTCCGGCGTCGGACGTCGTCACTGGATCCAGACGGTGGAGGACTTCACCTCTGTGGGCGCCACCACTCGAGGGAGGAGGAGGATAAAACCCACGTTGTGCCCGCGGATGGACCCGTTCGTCCATTACGCGACACGTGAGTGGCCTAAGCCCCTAGCAGCCAAGAGGCCTGCTCTGGGGTACGACATGTACTGCAGCGGGCAGGACTGGTCCTGGACCGGTGATCGAGGATTCAGTCCGCATGGCCCTGCAGCCCTCTGCATCCGTGTGGCCCGGCACCAGACCTCTCCTTCTCTCCGAGCGGGACAGGATGTCTTGCCGAGGCTGGATAGATATTATGCCAATGCGGCACAGGTCGTCACATTGGCTAACAACATGACTTTCATCACGGGGGCCCTGGATAGGGCGCTCTCCTCTGGCCAGGCGCTCAGTGGAGACCTCCTGTCACAGGCGAGGACCACCTCGGCGGCGATCCTGCGCATGTGCCAGACGCTAGCCGTGGATGGTGGCCAGGACACCGAGGATTCAGTCCGCATGGCCCTGCAGCCCTCCGCATCCGTGTGGCCCGGCACCAGACCTCTCCTTCTCTCCGAGCGGGACAGGATGTCTTGCCGAGGCTGGATAGATATTATGCCAATGCGGCACAGGTCGTCACATTGGCTATCAACATGACTTTCATCACGGGGGCCCTGGATAGGGCGCTCTCCTCTGGCCAGGCGCTCAGTGGAGACCTCCTGTCACAGGCGAGGACCACCTCGGCGGCGATCCTGCGCATGTGCCAGACGCTAGCCGTGGATGGTGGCCAGGACACCGAGGATTCAGTCCGCATGGCCCTGCAGCCCTCCGCATCCGTGTGGCCCGGCACCAGACCTCTCCTTCCCTCCGAGCGAGACAGGATGTCTTGGCGATGCCGGATAGATGTTATGCCATTGCAGCACAGGTCCTCGCATTGACTAACTACATGGCATTCATCACGGGGGCCCTGGATATGTTGCTCTCTTCTGACCAGGCGCTCAGTGGAGACCTCCTGTCACAGGCGAGGACCACCTCGGCGGCGACTCTGCGCATGTGCCAGACGCTAGCTGTGGATGGTGGCCGCTCCATGGCAGCAGCCCAAGTCGGGCCAGGCACCTTTGGCTTGGGCTGGCTAATATCAGGGAGGCGGAGAGGAGGCAGCTGCTGGACCTGCCCACCTCTCAGATGTCCCCCTTCGGCCCGGACATGCAGGCCTGGGTGGCGAGACTGGAGTCTGCAGCTAAAGACTCGGCTAGGCTAGCCCCGCACCTAGCACCGAGGCGCGAGGCCCACCAACCATCACGGAGCCGGGACAGAGGTCGAGAGCGTTGGCCCGGGAGGCATCCTGACCCGTATCCGCGCTCTGTTATCCATCGTCCCCCCTTGACGAGGCCCCCGGGTCCAGACAGACCCATGGGTGGCTCGCGGGAGCAACGCACCCACCACCGACCTCCCTATGGTAGAGGAGGCCGGGGTGGAAAAATTTTTCCTTCAATAAAGGCCGACCGGCATTTCCATTACTTTTCTGAGTCTGATTTGGGGGTATGTAACATGTCAAATATTGTGAATTCTGATTGTGTTACTTCCCGGGCACATAACGTTGCTTCGCTAGGCCTGCAGCCCCAGAGAGGGGCGTGCAGTGCACTACGAGCTCCGGTTTCTCTGATCCATACTATGCCCTCCCAGAGAGAGGTCAAGCGGAGGGATCTGGTGAGTGATATGTGTGTGCTTCGGCCGAACGCGTGTTAGCATTTTTGAGCTACAGGGCTAACACGGGGTTTCCCACTCCAGGGGCTCGCCCCCCCCTCCATGAGGCAAGAGCCAGGGGGGGGCACAGCAGCCGAGTCACGTGTGGTGAGCAGAGCTACAAGGCTGACACGGGGTTTCCCACTCCAGGGGCTCGCCCCCCCCTCCATGAGGCAAGAGCCAGGGGGGGGCACAGCAGCCGAGTCACGTGGGATGAGCAGTCCCGTACTTATGACGTCGGGCCTGCAGGACACGTGACCGCCCCCGGCGCTCACGGTGTGACGCAGGGTGCCCCCCCGGCCCTTTCGTCCACCCCCCCTCCCTGCTAGGAACACCAGGAGAGGGCAGGGCCGTGACGTCTCGTGTTCCAGCTCCCGTTCCGCTCCTCACAGACTTCTACAGCATCTGGAGGGAGCAAAGATGGCTGACATATCTATGGCGGGAGAGAACATTGCGCAGGGGTTACGCACTGCAATTCTCCCA